ACCACGAAAAGGCAGTGGATATATACGCGTGGCCATGTGAAAGCATTTGGCGAGGGAGAGCTGACTCTCTCCACTCTTGGCAGTAACAGGGTATTTTGGGGGCCAGGAATTAATTTTATTTAGGAAACTAATAAATATCAAACAGTACTACGCGATTGCTTCATTTGAATTTAAGATATACTAGTAGTATGTTCATGTAAACAAACAACAATGTAAACCAATATGTATAGTTATTATATAATTCATTGACTATCAAAGTAAGCTGTTTCATTTCTTTAAGACCATGTATTTTAAAATTGTCTGGTACTTTATATCCCAAAAATGAATTCTTTCTTCTTAATTCATATCGCTTGCGCTTTTGGTTTCTCACTACTCATGATATTATTATTATTTCTACTACTCTGATATTCAAATTGACAATTTTTGTGCCGATACAGTGTGGGAACTTGAACTGAAGTACTTACTTGTAATAAAATCAATTCACTAACCAATCAAGGATTACATTGTTCAACATCATAATTTCTGAGATATTCTGTCTAACCTTTGTAGTCCTAATGTAAACAATTTACCTTAGTGTTATCCATATAATTCTATATTTTTCATCATTATAAATATAAATAATGCATACAAATTAGTTATATTGTAAAGTATTGGAATAGATTTTGACAGATTACTCAATCACTATTCACAATAATAAAATATTCATTCTGAACCTGATGTTTACAAAATCTATGATTATTACCTTTCTGAATGACATAATAACTTCCATACTCTGCATAATAATAAGTGTTTATCAGGATTTCAATTTATAAATGGCTACAAATAATGTCTTCTTTGATGAAAAAAAAACAACCTAAGACACTAAACATTATTTATCCTATAAATTTGCAGTATTTACAATTGAAACAAAAATAATGACTATATCAATTCGCATCAGTTGAATGATCCAATCACGAGCCTTCCATTATCATTCCAGATAACATCAATAATAAATAACTATCAAGGTTTCTCAACAATGAATATATCAATAATTCAACAATTTGGATGATTCTCCTAGTCTTCCACATTGTACGAGCATTCTATATACCTTAATTAATGGTTGGTCTGGTTGTCAGAACAGGCATCAGCCTTGTGACTTTCGAAGGAACTCGGCTTTCACCATGAGGCGTCATAACTCTTTTAAATGAAGACCTACTAACTCCCAAAACAGAGTTTAAATGGTTTTAATTATTTTTTCTGGTTAGCGTCTTTTTGTCGAGTCAGTTTTTTACGGGATTGGGTCGCTAACTCAATGTCCAACCCTCATCTTTTATCCGGGCTTGGGACCGGCAGTAGCCCAAGAAGGACTCCAGGCGGAGTTATATTGATAATAACAACAACATTTCATGTAATAAGTAATAAAACTTCAATATTGACAAAGCAATCTGTTATTTATTTATAAAAAAAGTTGATTATATTATCCAGTAATACAATTGAAGCACCATACATAAATCAACTAACCAATTCATAAAACAAAAAATAACCAACATTATAAATTGTTGTAAATAATTTATTTATTTAATTATTCAGGATATTTCATTTATATATTGGTTGTTAAGTATCAATATTCTAATTTAATATTAATGGCTAAGTTAATTCATTTTACTCCCCCTTACTGATATAAACTCTATCTGTTTAAATGTTTAACGTTTAATGATAGAAAAAAAGACATTTAAATAAAAATAAGATTGATTGTTTATTAAAAGACTAATGTGTTTTCTGTCATTTGTCCAGTGATCATATCAGATTTTTTTTTAAAATCACATAGTAACTAACTTCTGTTTTTTTAATTATCATTATGATTAGATCTTTATTTCTTTTTGATATCAGTAATACTGATGTAAGGCAAATTAATTATGATGAAAGATTTTGTTTTCTAATCTATTGTACATTCAATCATATATGAAATTTAATTTTTTTAAAAGGATTTTGTATGTGATTTTACTCAATTAACGACTTTTTGGTAATGAAACAGTAATTTATTGACAATTCTTTACGATATTTGATATTAATTTGACCAATCAATATATTGATTTGGGTACGTTATATATTCTTTGGTGAGTCAATAATAATTCTTAACAAAACAATAGAAGCGTCGAAGTAATGCAAAAACAACTTATGCTGACCAGTATTGCTTTTTTGTTGATGAAGATATTTGTAAAGGGGTAACTACAAATAGAATAAAGTTTTATCGATAAAATTAGTCTCACTTTACTAATACGAAGACTAAAGTGTAAGATAACAATAATTTATCTTGTTAAGTAGTGCCCTCATGTCATTATAATCAACAAAAGAGATTAAAATTTCAGCTATGGAATTTAATACAGAGAAAAATGTACGAGAAAATAACTGCATATATAATTAATATGTACTTCCGATAGAATATGGATACTGGATGGTAAACTTGTCTCTTTTTTTGGTAAGAAATTAGTTACACCTATGGAATATATCCAAATGGTAAAAAATGAGTAGTTAGAAACTTCTATATAGTGAAACATTAGTACTAAATTATAAAATATGTCTCTCTTTGTCTTGACGAAAATGCTTTAAAAATAGATACTATTACTGACTAGCATAAGCGAAAACATTATTGTTAAGTAAATCCAGTTTAATAGTTATCTGCTTTCTGGTTTGTGATTCTTCAGGAGTACACAATCGTGACCCCACAGGCTAAGAATTCGTTATACGTTTTGCTTTTAAAAGAATATAATATTATCCAGCAGCCACCATGCTTATTTTAAATTAAAGAATATGGAGTGAACCTCATACAGTGACAAGATCATTTTCATCTGTTTTACCCCTCTCATAATATCTAACTACTAGAAATGATTATTAGATCATACAAGTTTATATATTACAACCTGGTTGTATAATAAATTTAATTAACAATAATGATTTTACAGGAAAGCAATAATCGATACCTCTTTTACCAATAAAATAGTGTAAGTCATGTATAAGTTTGGTTTGATAGTAAGTTCAAGAAAATAAACTTAGTAAAAATCTCAATACTGTTGATTGAAGTTGTTGATTACTATCATTGGAAAGAATAAAATTTACTACTGAATTTATTAACAAAACGATGAAACATAAGTATTATATATATGTCCTATTAATTTAAAATGTGAGGCAATAAATTTCCAAATGGAAGTTAACGATTCCAGAATCCATCTGAATGGATTTTTACTTCACAATTAATCAAATCCAGGAAACATTGAATAACTGTTTTAACTGCTGAGTCAACCATGTTTACCTATAAACTCAACAGTTATAGAATCTAAGATATTTAAATAAAGGTTCTAATATCGCACTTTACCAATGATAAATTTGAGGATTTTGAGTTAGAATATTTAACAAGGTGTTAATGAATATAACATGAAAATTTAAAAACTACATCTGAATGTTCGTAAGTGCAGAAAATTTTTTTATGAACTAGTGCTGATGCTTTTTCACTGGATACAAATCGACTACAAACTAACGTAAATATGTATAGACTATTATCATCATTATCGTCGTTATCATCAACTGCAATATTAACAGTAGGGAAAATAAAATGTATCTTAGATTCTAACTAACTGATTTGAATAATAGTAATAATAATAATAATCTGATCAGTTGTTCAAATGATAAAACCATTTGTTTTTCTTCTTGTTATAGAAAGTTTTCTTTTTTCTTACTTCATTTAATTTAATCATTTCCATAATATACAGGTGATTTTGACTAGCTGACATTTGTCATAATGTATATTTTTTGTTTACTTACTATTTCATACAAAACAAATTTGTTATTATTTCATGGCTGATTAAAGTAAATAAGATTTTATGACGTTTTAACTTGAAATAACAACATAAACATATAATGAAATGTTATAAAAAGCAACCTATTTTATTTTAAGAAAATAAAAGTACGAAAATAATGTTTTTAAATATTGTTTTTAACAATATTCTTGGTGTTCACTTTTTTTTTTAATTTAAAATTTTATACAAAAGTAATGAGGAAAGCAACTTGAATATTTACTCATATTGAATACCCTTATAAGTTTTAAAAAAAATGTATTCTCATATACAGTAGTACAGGCAAGAATAAATAAAATAATCTTATTTAGCAACAAACATATTATCTATTATTCATGAAATCTTAGTCTGCACCTATGTATACTGGTTAAACTTTCAAACTGACGGTAAGTAATAACTAGAGATCAATCAACTATTCGTTTTTTATGATCCTGATAATCTTCAAGAGTAGACCTATTTCAATAAAACTGTTCAGAAAGTAAAAACCTTTGTCTCATTTTCAAAAAGAACAATTAGTAAATGTTGATTTTGGTGTTGAGAAATCAGATGTGAAATTACCATTATGAATTGTATGTATTATATTATAGTTCTAGTTTAGATACTGTTAAGCACAAAAACTCAAGATGCTAATTGAAACAGCAAACAATTAATACCATTCAGTAGAATACTGAACAGCGTTCAGATATCTGAAGTGAAAATCACTACTAAATTAAAGTTTATCAGAAAAAAACTTATAATAGTGCGTAGATACATCTTGATTACTAGTAATTAATGAAACGGAGCTTGTTATCTGGATTCAGTTTCTAGCTATCATTTTATATTCAGTGATTAAATTCTTTCAAATTTCGATCAATGTAATTTATTGATCACGTTTGGTTAGTCTTCTTTCAAATATAATGCTTTTTATGAATGCTGACTTAATAGAGTTTTATTCTGAAACCAAATGATTAAAAGCTTTGTATATTTCTAATGAAACAGACAATTTTTAAAGTCGATTAAAAACCACAATGGTACTTTTTTATCATGAATTTCAAGCATAGATTAAAATCAGTATAGGCAAAAAATACAAAGCTTGACATTGTTTAGTAATAATATTTTTTATTCAGACTATAAAACAGTATATGTAATTACGTAATTTAGTGTTTTCTTGATTGGGTTTTTTTATTTTAGATATCTTGTTATGCGAATAACCATAATTAATTCTTATTCTGATCAAAAGAAAAAAGAAACACGATAACAAATAAACATGCCAATACCAAGTATTCATGTAAATTCGATTGAAGACAATGGAAATGATGACAGACGAAGAAAGAAACCTTCTATACCGATACTACAAGTAGTCGGTGACGAAATGGATGGACGGGAAAATGATGTTAACAGTGATGATGATGACGACGATGTAATGACAGCTGAAGAAGAAGCTGCTATCGCGCGTCGATTTCTTAGTGGAAATGATCAAACAGAACAACGCAGGTAAAATAAATAACGAACCTATGTATTATCTAGTTAATATTTTGAAGATGTCTATAAATTGTTTGTATTTATTACAAATTATTGTATGATATGTAGCATTCAATTTTAAAGATTATATATTTACGAGTAAACAGTTTCACTACTGCCATGATTATAAAAACTTACAGATGATTTACGGCGTTTAGTTTAGTTTTCATAAATGACTGATAAAATCAGACGAATTGAGGATCATTAAGGGCTGTTAGACATTTATTTCATTCTAGCATTGGGTATCCCAGTGGTGTATATCCATATACGTGTACGAGACCAAGCGATGGTTCTTCATGTTTCACAGAAACCACTGAGTCTAAATACTTCTCTGAAACTTTTAGTTTTACAAAGTGAGTGAGATTCATGTTTACTAGTAATGTATTTATAAATGATCAAATTTTGGAACAAGGTCATAAAAATAAAACTAATTCACTGAGTAAATGCTAAAGAATTCACCACTCATTGGAACCTTGTAATGCTTAACATCCCTTTACAACACTCACTGTTATTATGATAGAGATAGAAGTGTGTCACATTTTTTCTGTATACAAAACACCAGAGGGCTACGGCTCCTGTAAAACAAAGTGGATTTTATGCTTTTTTCTGATCATTGCTGTTAAAAGGCTCAAGTGTCTAGCAAGTACTTTTGTAAAATCTTCACTTAGGTTTCTACAACAATGTTCAGGGAAATTTGTTACGTCAACTATCTGTGAATTTTAAACGAAATAGAAACATGATTTCAAGCACGGTGTCGATCATTGTTGGTTGACGTGAAAGCAAACTATTTAGTCACTGTAAAAACTTAGTTTCAAGCGATTTATTCAACTAATCTAATTTCTATGAATTAACTGTTCAAAATGCATAGATCTGGCTAGCTAGTTGACTCGAAGACACCTGAAGAATACAACAGCAGAATCTCAAAATAATTAAAAATCAAAAATTTTCTGACAGCGTTAGAATGAATTTATTTAAATCATTTTAGTGTTTACACATTGCTCATGATCATTTTTTTCGTTCCTCATATTTTTGCCATATTGACCGGTTTATATTGATTCGATTTTTTTAATTTTCTTATATTTCAAAGAATGTCCTCACTGGACATGTATCTCTCGCAGCCAGAAGTAGTAAGTTAACTTCATTGGTTATTTTTATTTATTGAATTAGTCCGTAATACAAAGTTATAACTTGAAAATAGCTGACTAGTCTCTCGCTAGCTTTTACAGTTACATGTGTGAACGAAAAGAGAAGTTTTAAACAACATGAATAAAAAATATTGATTCGAAAGAATTTTTGAAGTTTATTTCAACAAAATTAACTTTTGGAAATCATCAATCATTGATAAACAAAATGTTGACTATATTCCAAGAATAGCGAATAGACGATAGAAAGCTTGGAATAATTTACGATAAACACACGCCAAATAATGTATGTAGTTAATATACGAAAAAGATGAACTCTCAAATCCGACTACTTCCATGTATATTTGCCAATTAAACTGTGATTATAGAAGCAACTATTTGTACAAATGACCTAGAAAGTTTATAATTGTCCTGCCAAATTAAGTCCATTTAAAATACTTTGCTTTTTCATTTAGTGGACTAAGAATGGAAATGACAAACTTTAAACATATTCTATCACATAAAGATTGTCAGTAAATAGTCAAGAGTTTGAATATCTCCATTTGTTAAAGGCAGTAAAAGCAATACTGGCCAGTATTTTTCATTCAAGTTAGTGGATAGGGAAATCATTTATTACGTTTACTAGTTCTTCATAGCCTTAATTTACCATTAGATTACAATAATAATTATTACATCAGATAAATCATTTTTGCGTACATCTAATTTTTATTTCTATTCTCATTAATGTTACTATTTGTCTTATCATTAGATTAACGGTTTTGTTAATTATCTACTTAATTTACTAATGACATAACTATTTTGTTATCAATTCAGTAAGACTTTATTTTAAATCCATGTTCCGTAAATTCATACAATTCTTAACAAGCTCTCTTGATAATAGTGCAAACATTTTTTTAGTTTTTTTATAAGTGTTATCAACACTATGATCCACTATCTCATATATATACAAACATTCTCAATTCATGAACAATAATGGTCAAATGTTCTGAATAATCACTTTTCTGATAATTAATCTAAACTGATAATAGATTATTTAAAATGGAAATTGGTTTAAAATGCATTTTTTGACTGTCTAAAATATCAGAAGGGGTTTTGTTGAGATTGTAGTATTTTCAGTCTCACGCGTGAAACTGATAGGTCCTGGATTCGAATCCCACAAGACAGGATCGTAGATGCCTACTGCTGAGGAGTCTCACAATAGGATGAAACGGCCGTCCAATGCTTTCAGGTTTTCCATGGCGGTCTAGCTTCAATTGACTCATGATCTCAACTATCTTAAATATATTTAAATTACATAGTAATAATAATTACAGGAAATTATTTGAAGCTTGAGAATAATCTACTATACAACTAGCTAATCTCTGTCGAATTTTGAATTGACATGAACTACGATAAGATCTGACTGAGCAGTTATGAATTTGTTTTAAAAAAATAACAATAATGTTTGTAAATCACTTGGGTAAGAAAAATTAAATAGCATGTCTCAGTAATTGAGGAGCAATTCTAAATGTTTGTTAAGTTTTAGGCTTCATGCGTTACTGGATAAATAAGTTAGTCACCTATAAGTAACGTTGAACTTGGAACTTATGTGAATCAGTCCAAGTGCCACATCATATCAGCACAGGAAGATAAAGTTATTAAGATTAATATCTAAGTAGTAAAAATAGTAGTAAATTATGGATACAGAATATGATTTGAGAAAAACAAATTTGTATAAGAAAAGGTATAAAATAATTTTGAAACTCTGGATTTATAGGGAAACAAAGAAAAAATGTATCTACACCACTGTGATTTATTCTGAGACATGTAATGCGATGCCTCCAACCAATGGGTACGATAATCGTGAGGATCTCAACCGGTTAGTCTAGATCTACCAACATGATTCAGACCAAATGTCTGTAACTTTACGGACTGATGCCACGTTTTATTTGACCATTTCTGGCTTTCTTTCAACATACTCTCATGCGATCCAGCATCGTTCGTCACGCTAGATATATGTTGGGCATACTTAAAACATGTCTTAACCCACTCAGTAGGTAGGGATTAACAATCTTATCAACCGATATATCTTCCCCTTGTGCCCTCGATTTAAATTCAACACTTTTCACTCGGTGTTCTCAACATGCGCAAAGATTCTGGTAAGATGCATATAGTCAAATAATAATAAGCTACACATGTCTTCTGTTTTCATAGACCACATTCTACATCCAATTCAATAAAACTGTCGGTTCAAAACTAATTGACCAATGGTTACATTTCCGTTGAGACCATATTTTATTTTCATATTGATCATTATACTTTCTATAAACAGAAATCAGTGTATCAAGAAAATAAGTCTTGTTAAACACATCATTACTAATTATTCAACAGTGTTTTAAGTCAAACATGAACACAAGTAATTAATGTGTATATACTTGCCAAGCTCATCAGCAACTTCCTGTCAGTTGTCTTCAATAAACTTATATTTAACTAAATGAACCATGATTTAGAATTACTTAGGACAAGGATCAAATCGAAGTTTGCTTAAAAGAAGTCACTGAAGACTATATTCACTGGCCAACTAATCAGCGAACGATTAACATGATTCTATAGTATGTCCAAGAATTTTCATATACATATAGTAACACTTCAATTATTCAATCATCATGATGTACTTTATGGATTTCGACCAATTTATTTGTATTACCAGATGTGTTTTCCTTTCAAGTGGTCTATAATAAACCTCCCATTAGTAAGGTTCCTGTTTAATAATGATCCAGATGGTATTTAGTGAGTAACAGATAACTGAAAATTGATTCTCGCGTATATTTTAGTCATGGCTTTTGTCAAACTTTTGTTTGTGATGAAATCTAAATTTTTGATGTTTAATTTTACCTTACTTTTCTTGATTAATTTAGAAACAAGAACCGATGATAATTAATCGTCATATAAGTTTGAAAGAAGAAGAAAAAGGCGTAAGTTATTTTGAGAGATTTTGTTGAATAGAGTTATTGGATCATTTATTTAACATTTTCATCATTACCAATTGCTACTTGTTAGACTAAAAATTAGTAGTTTGTTCATTTCGTATGAAAATTGCAATTGAAAATTGAAATTTTCTATATTGAGTGATATAAACTTATACTTCTAATCTAATAAAGAACTGTATCTGTGGCTCGTATCAACAGTAATAAACAATTATGACTTTGCTGTCATACTCAAACGTTCAATTCGATGAAAAAAATCTGAATATAATGAAACGATCGTACTGCATTTAGTAACTTCTAATATACTTGTGAACAAATTGTTCTTTGTGCTACTAAATAGAAAGGCATTGAGAACACTGGATTACAATATTTGGTTTCCTAAGAGAAATACTAGTTATTTGAGACAACGTATTCGTTAGGCGTGTAGCATAATCATGACGAATCTTATTCAGTTTATAACTGATTAAAAAGCAGTTTTGTAAATGAATAGTTTGTGTAAAGTAAATAATAATGTTACAAATAGGTAAACAGATTTTGTGAGATAAATTAATCTGAAAAGATGGATAGTGGCTAGGAGTGGAATACAGGACGCACTTTTCGCCTTGTTTGGGACCCATCAGCCGGATGTACTTGCATCACACAGTTGGTGTTCATTCCAGGACTCGAACTCATTACCGTCCATTTCAAACGCCATCGTGTTATCTACTCAGCTACTGAGCCCCGATAGCCACCTGCTTGTGCAATCGGATGAAGTTTAATTCACTTAGTATTGTTTGTTTGTATCTTCCCATTGTTGTTTTCGGCTGCAGTTGATATGCATATATGGCATTTATGCATCCTGTGCTTATAAAACTTATGACTTAAGGCAATACCGAGGAATACCGCACAGTATGCACATATGTCAATGAGAGACTGATCAATTGCAGTCCTAAACAACAATGGGAAGATACAAGCAAACAATACAAAGTGGATTAATTAATTTGTTTGATCCTTCTACAGGTTGTGAATTAATAAAACAACAAATATGAATGAACTGTCTTATCGAACAGATTCTCAGGAATACACATATTGTTCCTGGCTAGGGTTGGAGAATAATGGTTATAATTAGGGATTGTGCACCTAGGATTAAGACTAAAAGCTTAAGGTTAGAGATATAAGGTAAAGATTGAGACTTAGGGATAAAGTTAATTCAAGTGCTGTATACAATCTACATGGAAAAAAATGGCTTTATATGTTTTGCATAATCGTTTCTACTCTATGATAGCAAATAATAATTTATCGTTATTGTTTTAAAAGTTCTAATGTCTACTTGCCCAGTGCCTTTAACATACCTGTTTATTCTGCATCAGTCTTAATAGATGATAATTCACAACATCTTAGTTGTCCAAAACTGTATCATAAAGATTGGAAGATTTAACACCGTCATTAAACCTCTTCCCTAGTTAATTATTGGAACATTTCAACTAATTACTCTATTTTCTTAAGCACTTATTAGTGAATTAGTATTAAGTTAAACGAGAAATCAACTTCAGACGCACGTGTGGAAGTAGCAGCTATATACATGAGAGAACTTATACCAATGTAGACTATTTAGTGAATTATGGTAAGACATCCAACACCAACTACTTTCTTAATTGAATAGAATACTGACATAATATCTCATGATATTCAGATTATTTTCTACAGATTTTGAAAAAATACCTAATATTATCTATTTATTGAAAAACGCATTCATTTTTCATATTCTAGTTTGAGGCGGAGCAAATACTTCTTCGTCAAAAAGAACGTGAGGTAAGTTAATGTTTACCATAGTGTTTCCAATAATAAAAAAATAATAATAACATCCTGTTGATGTACGAACTATGCATTTAAGGCCATTTCCCGAGCTATGACGAACTGATTATAGTCATCTACAACTAGGGAAAGTAAAACTGAAACAGAGAGCACAGAACAACAAAAGGAATAATTACTATGATAGGTCAGCCAAGTCTATTATAATACGTAGGCCAGGTTATCCTGTGATGAAGTGTTGTGTTAAAAATTATCCAGATTAGTTAAGGTTACCATGGACAGTGTTAGTGTGAAATAACAACAGGTAGGGGATTTACTTAATAGGCTCAGTAATAAAACCGTTAAACATCCAAAGTTCTTATAATCTTACTCGTGGAATGGGACATACTTACAAGTTCAAGCACATTCAAGTCCTTTTTAAAGAAGTAAGCGTCAATCCAGCGAACATAGGATGATGTGTTATTAGTCAACTTTGCAGTTTACAGACAGTCAAAATTACAGTTAATCATTAGCTGCTAACAGACGAAGGATTGACGAGACGATAATTTATGAATAAACCAATCAGATTTAGGATAATAAGTTTTCGATTTTAGCACAAATTCATTCATCCATTTGGCTAAATAGCGTTTCGACACTTTAGCTTATGTCAGTTCATGATGAAAACCCTAAATTCAATTTCTTACCCTAACCATCAACCGTAAATCATAATCTTTACTCTTCACACAGGTTTATAACCCTCATTTAGCCGCAGTAAGTAGGTGAGGATTTCGAAGGTCAATTTGGCGTCGCTCAAAGGACATCCATAAATTACAGTCCCACCAAATGATTACTAAGAAACTTTGTGATCGTATATAGTTGCTGTTACCTATTGTTAAACAGTATTGACAAAGTGTGAAAAATAAAAAATTACCGCATCCTATCATATCCATACTAGGACGAACTGGATGTCCAGTGCTTCCAAGTATTCAGTAGTTGTCTAACTTAGATCGATTTGTGATTCCAATGATATCCTACACCGTTTTGAATCGTTCAATTATTGGTTTCACTCCGTGATAAGTATTGTCTTCATTATATCAAATAATAGTGTAATATAAGTCAACGAAATCATCTATCGGTGATCATTCCATTATTGCTACCACACAGATTGATTAAATGGGTAAGGATTATTAAATCAATTCAGTCCATGAAGTCTATGATAACAAACCTCCCATTTTTCTTTCCTGGTATAGTCATAGTCCATATTCGAAACCCTAGATAACTCGAATTCACTCTGTATAAAAAAGATGAGTTCATTTTTCACCGTTTTCTAAATCTCAAGATTAGTATAACTCCACACACTTGATTATCTTGATTTCATCCTTTTCTCATGAATTGCATCTCCTGATGTTGCTCCGCTCTCTTGTAGATCAGACTCGTGTGTGGCCCCCTAAGAAAACCACCTGCTTCGGTATGGGCACAGGGGCAGTACCACAGCCCACACACAAATCAATAGACTTGTGTGGTGAATATGTATTTGGTGCCCCTTTGTACCAATATTTATGTGTTCAAATAAATAATAAATAAATAAAATACATACCCTAAGTCTCATTTTGTAACTATCACTGATATCAATTATTTGACGCTCTGCATCTTGTCAGTTTTCTCTTACTGTTTTGATTAGAATCATGACAACTTCAAACAACCTCCATTATTATTAATGCCAAGTCAGACTTTGTTCATAATTGACTCATAGGACAAATGTTTCTACTACATCTAGGTCGCAAAGCAATATTATTTAGTGATTATTATAGTAAGAACATGAAAAAGTCAATCGATCACGAAATAGTTACATTAACAATAAGGATTCCACTAAACTAATTAATGACCCAGCTGGTAGTTCAAGTACAGTTTTGTTACAGTTTATCAGAAATGTCAGAGAATATTGACTAGTTAGGCATTATGTAGCGCAAAGTCTTTCAGTATCTATGTCGCACGATTAACAACCTGATCCTTTTGTTATGTTATGCCGTTTTCTGGAAAATATATCAATAACCAGCTGGTTCTTGAATCGAGTTATTCCAAACCATAATATTTCAAAGTATATTCTCTTGTCAGATAACCAATGTTAATTATGACTAATAATTATTTTATTCCTCACCCATCTAGTTTTTTACACTCATCATTAGTTGTAATATTAGATAGGTTAATTAAATGATTGATTCTCATTGTAAAACATGGTTCTTATTCATTCTTTATCAGTAAGTATCTTATTACATAAAAAACAAAAGCATGAAATCAATCTGTAAATTTATACATACATGCGTCTAGAGATAATGTAAATGACAAAACAGTTGTTTAAACATTTTTAGCTATTGTTCGTTTATTATCGATTAGGTTGGTATGCAAAGTACACTGAATGTTTCATCCGAATTATATTTTTTTCTCTTATCAATGTCATCTGAATTTGAATAAGTCATGATTATGCAGACAGTAATGGAAGTACTAGCATTTAGTTGATATATATAAAACAATTAACTAAATCGTTGTGATCGACCATGGCAGTAGAAAGAAACATACGAATAACAGCGTACAATGTAGTAATGTTTTCTGTCAATTGGTGTTTATGTATGATGATAATATTTAACAAAGACTACTTACAGTGTTTTATGTTTTCAGAATACTACTTTCATTTATTCTTCTTTCCTTTTCTTCATGTCACTCTGTAACACATATGTTCTACCATAGTATTGTTTTCTCGGTAAAATAAATTTGAAAAGTTTAAGAAAGAATAACTTTGAAAAATGTCATGCATCTTGATCTGAGTGTGAAAAAATTAAAGATTTTTTGCTGAAATCTATACAGTTTTTCATTCACAATGCAGGCTTTTTTTCACACAAAATTATCTGAAATAAAAAGATTGAAAAATAAAAAGCGAGATAGGTGCAAGACGATGTGAATATAAATAAACTGTGTTGTCACTATGAAAATATAACAAATGCCGCTGTAAAAACTGGTTTGTGGGTATGTTAAATGTTAGGAAGTGATTTTGGTAGAGTTTTGTTCTCTGAGCTGGATGGTTTGGTCGTGTAGCTTTCATCGTTATTCTGAACGACAACATCGTTTTAGGTTAGTGCTGATGATTTCGTTCAGAATAACGGTGAAATCTAAACGGCCAAGCCATCTAGCTCAGAGAACAAAACTCCATCAAAATCAATAAATTGGTATATTTGTAATGCAAATTGATAAAATCTAATTTTCCTACTCGTTGGGATGTTACAAATATATTATTTATTTATAACAATCTACCCAATTCTCAATTTATTCGAAACTATCAAATCAAACCTTGGTAATGATACCTCCATCAAAATCAACCACCTGAGCTACAAATCTTCAACATCTCAAATGTTAGTTAGTTGTAGGCGATCAACAAGACACTCTATGCGTCATTTGGCCATGATCTACTAAAATTTCAAGTCACTTAGTATACTGACCACTGTGGTTGAAAGTATTTAATCGGCACTAATGAATTGATGTAAAGTCGACCACTAATCAATAAGCAGTTAGAATTAAACTCGATACAATACTTTATGCAGCAATGATTGTGTTTGACTGAATTAATTGAAAGAAAACAGGTTATTAGTAATAAATGTGTATAGTTAGGTTTCGGTAAGAATATATATATATATATATATATATATATATATATATATATATATATATATATATATATATATATATATATATATATATCAATACGAGTTTGTACCCATTTGTTTCGTTTAATAGTTTATGGAAATAAGTTAAGTTTGGTGATATCTTGTATCACATAACTGTGCCAACTAGCAAACTGGTGAAAACAAAGAAAACACTGTACAGTTAGTTGATCATAGTTTAAGGCTACTTAAACGTCCACTGTCATGACCCTGCTAGAGATATCAGTCAATAACCTAAACCTAACTTGAATTTAACTCACTTCCACAAATAAATCGAATCAGTAATGTGCTCAATAGTGACATGCTTTGAAATTATCACATGAACGTTCAGTGAGAAATTACAGGTGACAGTTAATCAAGTTGGTATCTGCTGAATGAACATGGAAATAAACATTAGTAGATTCCACCTCAATAACCTAAAACTCCATGGTTGGTGCTGCACAATATGTAATCAAGTATTAATACATAAGTTATTCAGTGTTTCTTTTTTAACTATTCTCCAGCCGATATTATTCCTCGTCATAATCTAATGTTTTGGTATATTCTTTTTTATTAACAAGACTAAGTTCTAAACGTAAATCTTCAAATAATTTTCTTGTATTTACATCATTCATTACTTACAGATTTTTCTATGTAACACTACATCCGATCATCTTATTAAAGAAAAAAAGAAGAATAAAACCAAATATTTATTCCTTTTATTAGTTTACTAATCTATAAGCTGACATTTAAAACGGTTATTTGTTTATGCAAATCCAGTTGAAAATATTCTATCTATACTGCCTTCTTTGTTTTTTTCCTATTTGGTACCATTTACTATTTAGTATGTAAATAACATATCATTTGTTTTGAATTTGAAAAAAATATTGTTTTTATATATTCGAAAGAGGAAAGTTTTCTTGTCTTTGAAAAATAAAAGAAAACAGTATCAATTTGTGTAAAATATCCATTAATTTCTTTATGAATTGAAGATGTAGTGGTTTTATTACTTTCTAATTGTTAATAATAAGTGTTGTTTTAGTATTCGTTATGTTATCATATGAATGTTGGTGTATTTTATTATAGCTAATACTAGGACGAAACGGCCGTTCAGTGCTTCCAGGTTTTCCATGATGGCCTAGCTTCAATTGACTCATGGTTTCAACTATTGAAATTAATAATGTTGTAACAATGGTAGTGATGCGTGTGAATGATTGTACTCTTAGATTGGAGTGATGAACGAAATAATCCTTATAAGAATCTCGACAGATTTCTTTTTTTTTTAATGTTGTTGTGTTATGTAATTAAAACGTTCTGTTCATTGTGAGGTATAAATCTTAATCTTTTTTAAGATTATATATGTAATGAACAGTAACAATGAACATAAATTTGTTTTAATATTTTGTTATTTACATTGTTTTTTTAAAATATCATCCAAATTTCTCTAGGAAGTGGAAAAACATCAAGAACAATTAAGATTAGAACGTGAAGAGGTAAGAATATGCATTTTATTGATTTTCGCATTTAACGAATTATAATCAAGTGTTGTTGTATTGTTTCTTATCAGTTTGCTTATGCTTTCCAATTGAATAAAAAACTATGATTAGAATTATTAAACCAAGGCTACATTTCTTATAATCAGTGAGAGATGAACTAGTGTACCATTTGCTTACGCAAGTATATACTTCTTTCGTCATTACTGAATGAAACAGTGCAGAGCGGGATCATGATCATGATATATTACACGTCGATTTTAGTTGGAAACACTGTTAACTACTTGACTCTAAATTAGTAGTAGCCTTACTTTACTATATCTGACTCGCAATCTAAAACTATCGAAGACGACCCTGCATTGACGTTGATTTTTATTGTTGAAGATTTCAGAACTAAGACCAAACAACAGTCCATCACTTTTTGTTATTTAAGAGTTCGTAGAATGACGTCATTTCACAGTGAAAATTATTTTTAATTCATTTCATATTTTGAAATAGCCATATTTCATCCTTTGAAAATGTATCTTGGAAACCATTTTGAGTACTCGAAGTTTATACACGGCCATAGTGAAAGTAAAATTTGTTGCTTACCAATTGATTAGGTGACAGAATCCAACGTGATAAAACAATAATTCACTTTAAGTAGCATGGTTAATTTCATATTTAAGTATCTAAACGTTAATAGAGACAATTTCACAGAGCTATCGGTTTTAATTACATTGTGTGTAGAACGAAAAATCATATATCCAAAAATTACGTGATTGAATTCTGAGTATAGCCGTGATCTTTCATATATCCACTCATCATTTTTATGGGTTGATTAGTAATTATTTACATATCTGGGTTAGATTCCCAAATATGGAGCGGCGGATTAAGGGTTAAGGAGTTCAACTCTCAGCCATTAGGCTACATGTACAAACCTTGCTCCACTAACTCCAATTTGAGCAACTAAGTATCCATCCCATTTAAAAGGTGGTTCATGTCCAAGTAAATTTAAATTTAAAGTTTAAATTCTTAAGTAAAGGCATATAAATTAAGCAAATGAATAACTCAATTATAGAGTCATTGCTTATACATATCCTGCATGGTCATAATCATCAGTATAGATAACGAGCGACGGTTTATAGATGAAAACAGTTGGTCTTCAAGCAGTAGATTCAATGTTCAAATCCTCCACCATCTGTCTCGTCCTAGAAAGCCGGACATTACTAGTCTCCATAATAGTGTGGTTCGAAGTTAAGCGTATATACATTTACTTGCTAGGTGAGTTGCATACAGCACAGATACTGAAGGACAATGAAAATATGGTTATCTTTCATAAAGTGCTACTGGTCACACAGTGTAGAGAGATATTTTACACACAGACCTGTTTTGTTTTCCTTTTAAGTGGGAAATATTAATTTGTACAATGATTAATTTCTTTCTTTTTCGTTTCTAAAAGGTTAAAAAAGCCAGAGCGTCCAAAAGACATGTGAGTTTTGAATGAATGTCTTTTCTAAAATTATTTCGCATTTAATATTTCAATAATAACAGGATAGCAATGTTTACGATTAGTGCAAATTTCCCCACTGAGGGACTTTGAATTCAGCTAACTACTTGTTTCTGATAAAAGTATTATCTTTTTTGATCAGTTTTGCATACAAGTTAATCGTAATATTAGGTGTAAATTCATTCACGTAACTCACTTTAAACCTCATTTTTATCATAAAAATACTTTTAATACAGTCTAGATAGTCTAAATAAAATAGAACGAAAATAATATGAACTAGATAGTCAACGCAAAATGACTGAAAACTAGATTTCGTATTTATTGGAATTGGTCAGTAGAATATATCTCTTTGAATAGAACTAATATATTATTAGAAATTTTAGAAAAGCATGCTTCTGTCAGCAAGGTAATCGAACGTACTACTAGTGAGTAAATATAAACAATGTACTAATTCAAAAAACTATAGATACTGGTATCACATAATTGGAGACAATAGAATAAGCACTTTCACTTTGATCATTACTCTTTGGAATCAATCATGAAAGGGTCTCAAGAATTAAGATTATATAGAAAAGAATTAATTATGTCACAATGACATCGTATTACAAAGATAACAAAAGGAAAATTACTCAAAAAGCTAGGAAAACTAATAATAACCATTTGAATAGATTTTCAAATCTAATCAATCAATACATTAATTACGTCAAATGAATATTTTGTGGATAGTTTCAAAGAATACCTTAATTATTAATAATCAATCAATACATATTACCGCTAAATAGAAAGATTTTTAAAATTGGTTACTACCCACTTGTATTGTATAACTTTTGAATGTCATTGAAAATGTCGAAACTAATTCCCGACTTTCTAAGCTCTTTTACATACAGATTTTATGAAATAATCAATTTTTGCATTCCAGTTAAACAGAATACAAAAATATATAATCAGATCTTTTAACACAATTGAATGTAGGATTATAAATTTCTGTATGAATTATTATTTACTTGAATTTTTTTCATTAAAAAGGATAACCTATTACTAGTACCAGGAATTTGTTACACAATATATTGATTATTTTTAAGGGAATTCTTTGAACTCGGAATTTTATTGTCGTTTTATAATAAACACCTTTATAAATTTTTTTATGTTGTTAAAATAAATTATTTATTTTACCTTCGTACAAATGACTTATACTTTGTATAGGATAATTTAATAAACATTTGACAGTTTATAGGAAGGAAAAACTCGTATCGAATTATTATAAGCAAATATGGATAGTGGCTAGCAGTGGAATGCAGGACGCGCGTTCCGTCCTATTTGGGATTCGTCAGCTGGATGTGCCTGCATTTCAGAGTTGATGTTCGCTCTGCGACTACAACCCAGTACCATTCGCTTCAGACGCTATCGCGTTATCCATTCAGCTACTGAGTCCTGATAGCCAACAGCTTGTGCAATGGGGTGAAGTTTAATTCACTTGATATTGTTTTACTTGTATCTTCCCATTGTTATTTAGGACTGAAATTCATCAGGTGGCTATCAGGACTCAGTAGCTAAGTGGAAAACGCGATGGCATTTGAAGCGAGCAGTACTGGGGTCGAGTCCCAGAGTAAATATCAACTCTGAGATGCAGATACATCCAGATGACGAGTCCTAAATAGGACGAAACGCACATCCTGGATCCCACTGCTAGCCACCATCCATGATTGCTTAAAAAGCTTGTGACTAAAGGCTACATTGAGGCATCCGCACAGGATGCACATATGTCAACATGAGACTGATCACTTGCAGTTCTAAATAACAATGGGAAGATACAAGTGAAACAACAACAAGTGAATTTGAATTATTATTCTTACGGAAATTTAATTTGATGATTTTAAGTGAATTAAGTATTAGGTAAACTGTTGATGTCCTAGTGTGCAGAAATTAGAATGTTTTATGTTTTATGACTCAAGTCAATTATTCAAAGAGCAACGGATAATTATTTAAAATTATGAAAAAAGGAGACTTAAAGTATCTCGTTACAAGTTAGAACTCTTAGTTTCTACTCATTAGGATATCACAAATAGATAATTGTTTTTATTATTAAAATATTTAGCACAGTGATATTTCTAAACGAGAATAAACTAGGTTTATTTCGAAAAAAAAATTAACTTCGTAAAGGTCATCTTTACATGGTTATTGAAAAGATAATGTAGAAGGGTTACATACCATAGTTACCAGTATCAATTCGTATTAGAGGATGGAAACTTCACTTTACTTAAAATTGTGGTTTAATTTTTCAGCTCAATTATTTTCCAAATTAAAAAAACAGCAGGTTTTATTTCTTCTCGCTACATTTAAGAACCTTAACACTAAAATATAAATTCTATACAACAAAAATATAATGGAGAGATGAATGACTTTAATCGTTTCCCTTTTTTTCAATGATTCAAGTCAAAAGTTGCTGAAGAACAAGAGCCCAGTAAAAATAATCAAGTAAGACGAATGGATTATCATAAACAAGGTCTTGGAGGTTTAAGTAAAGAACGTAGAAAAAAATTGAAGGTTAGTTAACCGAAAGAAATTTTATTAAATTAGTTTAAAGAAAATTACTATTATGGATGTATAAAAATCGTTTCAACGGTTATTTCTACCTGGAAAATAAAGTAATATAAAATAGCAATAAATTTTGAGCTACTTACATAAATTATAAGTAGCTGATATTCATGTACAAAATAAATGAAAGTACACATGCTGAGATCATTTCAACATTAAGTTACATAGCCTTCAAAGAACGACGAAGTTTGTTATAGATCTGAATGTAGCTATGTGTCTTTAAGAAAGTGAAACTAGCATATTTGAGACATGGGTAGGATAAACCAATTTAGTTTATTAGGCAAGAGTACACACTACATTTGTAAAATATGAAAACAAGACATTGAATACACCATTTGCACATCTTCAATGAATTGCCGCTTACAAGCTCGATGGTTCTTAAGTTCCTGTTGCTTAGACTGCTTTTGCTTTTAGTTCTCTCTTCATGTTCCTCTTCTGTTACTAAGAATTTTATTCCCAAATCTTCATGTTACTATTTTCACAATATAAGTTTATGAAATCAATTTAATAGTAAAATTATTTATTTATTTAACTTAACAACATTTCAGATTCATCCGAATAATTTCACAATATAATCATTACATTTTGGAGATTTAAGCAACCATCCAATTCAGATTTGCAAAAGAGAAATTTGTCACATGGTTTTCTGTTTATTAGATAAAAAGAGATAATCTGGAAATTATAATGAAATATAAATTTAGAAAATGTATAGATAGTATAAAATAGTTGAAACACATTACTTATCAAAAATACATCTGCTTTATTATTGATTATCCCAATTGACTATACTTTTGCCACTGAATAAAAATAAAGAGACTTCAATGAAATGTACTGCTTAAATAAATGATTTCATTGAAAAGAAGTTTTCACCGTCCAATTCTCTTAGTTTAAATTTTTTTATTTATCTTTAAGGAAATGATCTTGCAAAAGGCAAAAAATGAACTTCTTGAAGAAAGAAGGAAAGAACTTCGTAACCGTGAAGATCATATCAAGAAACAAGCCCCTCCATTCGACATTGATGGTTTAAATCAAAGTGAGAAACTTTTTCAAGTAACATTGCGGTTATTTAATATAGTCACAGATATTACTACTCAAAGATGAACAAAATGAAAGTTGTAATTAGACTTCAGAAATTAATTTTGGTTACGAGGAATATGGTGGTTAAATTTCAGAAGGGGATTATGAGTTACTAATCAGTTTCTTCTAATGTATGAACCACAAGCCTTGATTATTGATGAAGTTTAGCTTTTTATTCAGTTTCTGAGCTTCATTGTCAAATCGTTTTAAATTTTTTAGTTAGAAAATTATAACATAAAGCAATAATTGGAATGACAAAAGAAAGTTAAAACAAAATAACAGATACAAAATGTAATTTCTTATTTTGTAAGTTATTTAATGAATGATAGAAAAAGCTGCTAAACTCCATTCAGTACACCATCACGATCGAATCACACCAAATCTGTAACTAACGGATGGGAAAATCGGGGCTCTAATGAGACAGAAAGGAGAACATGTAAATTACTCGTCCATCTAATAATGATCTGAAATTTGTGCTGATGAAATCGTTCAGAAGAACGATGAAAGCTCCACGACCAAACCATGCAGCTCAGAGAACAAAAGTCCATCGAGATGTTATATATGTAGACTCTATTTTGCATAACCTATTCTGCACAGAGTTATATTTGAAGCTTGAAAGGCATCAAAGTAGTAAATTCCTTAAGAACCACTTCCGACTAAGAAGCTTTCAAGTTATCCATAGTGGTTATCTAGACGATATTAACTTTCAATAAAAGCTTACCAAAGCTACCACGATCTTATTTTATCAGAAATTCAGTGAACTAAAACATTTAATAACGCACTTAAATGTTTGTTTTACTGAATTCACCAACATACAACTGAATATGTGAATATATTTTTTGAATCAAGTGCAACTTGAAGAAAAGGTGAAGTCGTGGTACGAACACGTTAAACAATTGGAATCACAAAAATACGAATGGGAACAAAGACTACGCAAACAGGATGAAGAAGTAAGTCAATGGATGGGATTTTAAGTCTTTTTTAAAAGTATATTATATATTATATATATATATCAAGGTCATACAAACTATAGCATTTTGTGGATACCTTCCATTGTGATCTGACGTTATCCTGTATATTATCGAATCCTTCGATGAACTTACTGACGAATGAGAACTGGTGCGAAATCTGTGTTCACAACTTACCAACGAGTGATCCCAAGTATCTAAAGAAGGTTTTAACAAGGATATACAGACAGGCAAAAAAATACTCATTGATGACTTTGCAGACTAATAGTCTTTGAATAATCATGAGAGGGATTCATATACACACATATAAAGCACGTTTAAAACATGAATTGATCGTGTATTTAAATCCATATTCATTAGATATTTTTTACCATATCTGATGGATTTATAATTATGTAAACCAAAAAAAATTTTTACGTATTGACTAATATTTCTAAGAAGGCTGTTATGCTACAATCGGTACAGACTAATTTGACGGAAATGATAATAACGAAATGATGAAGTTAGTCATATTAAAATGACGGAGTAAAAAAAAATCAATACATTCTACAGATTATATTGGTTGATTCTAAAACACTTAATCAGATTTTCATAAGAACGTCTCAGTACGATAAAGTAGGCTCTTTCAAAGCTTCCAGTTCAAATGGAATGGGATTTTGAAAATTTGATGTTGTTTACATCTAAATTACAATGAATAAAAGTGTTTGTTGACTGAATGGAAAACTCATTTAAATCGGATAATTTTAATGTCAGTCAGTCAGCTGCAACGTAGGACCAGGCACATATATGCATCGGTCCAAGTTGCCATACCGCATTAGCACAACAAGATGAACACCGAATTCATAGAAGTAGTCACATCAAAGGTAGTAGTACATAAAAGAAAGATTGTGTATAAGGATATAATACAGGAAGAAAGAATTAATTCGTGGAAAGACAGATATGAAGCGATTTTAATCTTTTAGTTTAAGGAGGAAGACAGAGAGTGTATGCACCGACGCCATTGTGATTGATCCTGAGCCATGTCACCAAGAGTCTCCAACCATTGGTTACGATAGTCACGCGGACCCCAGCCAGGCAGTCTGCATCTGCCAACATGGCTCAAACCAGAAGTTAGTGTCTTCAAGCACTGATGCCACGTTTTGGTTTGGCCATCGTCTTTTTCCGAGTAGTCTCACTTACACCTGACTTTTTAGTTCCAGTTTCTTTTATGAGTCTTGGATAATTTTAATGGAAAAGCAGAATGAGTTGATTCGTGCATTATGCTCAGTTGTAGTTGAATTGATAATATTTACATTACAAGAGTGTAGTGCTACAAATTATTATGATTTTTATACCTATTTTTGAGAAAATCCCTTTATGAATGTACTTAAAAATTCAGCATTACTTAAAAAAGTTATACTGATTCCCCATATAAATTAGTGTATAAAATCAAGAAATCAAATTACTCAAACGGTTTTTCTTTTCCTTATTTATGCAGATTAATGAATTGACAGCTCAGTTATGCTCAATTAAAGGACACTTGTAAGTAAACATTTGATTAATAATAAGTTCTAAATATACAGACTATCAGGTAAATTTCCGGGTAAGTTGCTGAACTACAATTTGAGTAAACAAGAATTCGTTACTACCTAGCACATATTGAAAGCACTATCAATTACATTAAGGTGCAGATATTTGGAACCAAACTATAAACATCCTGTAATCGAGTCAAAATTATCGTCAGAACATCAAATAAAGTTATCAGATGAACAGTTTAAGACTCAAAATATACCTCTTAATTTGTCCATACCTGCCAGGAAATAAAAATTAGGATAACTTACTTACTTATTCCTGAAACCTCTTATGGGGGGAGCACAGACCACCCATCAGCATTCACCATTACACTTTGTCTTCGGCAATACTTATCAGTTGATATTTACTCTTTTGATATCTGCTTCCGATTCCAACACGATGTGTTCGTTGTTCTTCCTCTTTTTCGTTTCCCTTAAGAATTCCAAGTTAGTGCTTGCTTCATGATACAGTCAGATGATTTCCATAATGTATGTCCTATCCATTTCCATTGTATTTCCCTACTTTTTTCCTCAGATAGAAGATAGTTTGTTCTCTCTAACAGTAGGCTGTTGCTGATGGTGTCCGGCCAATGGACATTCAGTATCTTACGTAGACAATTGTTTGTAAATACTTTTACCTTTTCGATTATGGTTGTGGTAAATCTTGCAGTTTCAGCTCCGTACAGTAGGACTATCTTGACGTTCGTATTGAAGATTCTCACTTAGATATTGGTTGACAATTGCTTTGAGTCCCATATGTTCTTCAACTGTAGAAATGCTGTCTTTGTCTTGCCGAGTCTCCCCTTTACATTTGTATCGAATCCTCCACACTCATCGATAATGCTACCCAGATACGTGGAATTTCCCACTTTTTCCATAGTTTCCCCATCAAGTGTGATTGAGTTGATGTTCTCCGTGTTGCATTTGAGGATCCCGTTTTTTCCCTTGTGTATGTTGAGGCCTACTGCGGCTACACTCTGTTTCGGTCTGCATTTATTGCTATGTATGGGACAGAAGAGAGACGTCGTCTGCGAAGTCCGAATCGGCCGGCTGCCTCCGAGCTGTTCACTGCTTCCTCTAAGATGTCGAGGTCTTCATTATCCAATAGATCACCAGAAAAAAGACAAACGGCGAGGGTAAGCAACCTTATCGGACTCCAGTCCTCACTTAGAATGCATCTGTCAACTGTCCTCAATGCACAACTTTGCACTGTAGCCCGCCGTATAAACTCCGAGAGATATTGACAATCGTCTCAGATACACGGCGGTGTCGAAGAAGGTTCTCCAATCCACGCTGTCGAACTCTGTCTTACAGTGAAGGAGTTTGTTGTATAGTGACCAGTTCCATTCAATCGATTGTCTAACAATGATCCGTAGTGTCATGATTTTGTCAGTACACAGTCAATCTTTACGGAATCATGCCTGTTGATCTCAAAGCTACTGAATCTTTCATCAGGTTCAGTAATACTCTGTTGAAAAATTTTCCTAGTACTGATAGTAGTGTGATGCCTCTGTAGTTTTCACATTTGCTCATATCTCTTTTGTTTGGTATCTTGGTTAGATATCCTTCTTTCCAGTCTGTCGGCACTCGTTCTTCCTCACAAATCTTCCTGAATAAAACTTGGAACATGTTTTCAGTTTCTCCTATATCTGACTTCAACGCTTAGACTATGTTAATAGGTCCCGCTGCTTTTCCACTTTTGACTTGTCTGATGACCATGCTAATTTTTTTATCGTTGGTGAAGTGACATTCATGGGGAGGTCTGTGCGTGCTGCCTCGATGTCCGGTATGTTCTGTTGGGCTGGTTTATTCAAGTGTTCTTTATAGTGCTCTACACACCTTTTCCGATGTTCATGAATCCCAGTGATTGGTCTGCCTTCTTTTCCCTTGACTGATTGCTCTGGTTTATCATATTTTCTTTCTAGTCTATTCTTGGTATCATGAAACTGCTTTATATTTCCTTCTCTTTCAGTTTTTCGGCCGTCGTTGTTAGATCTTCTAAGCATTTCTGCATGTCGGTTTATGCCTCTGTATATTCGGTCTTTGCCTTGACTTCCTCTGCCCTTGTTCGACTGTTGTTAAGTTCTGTCTTCTTGGTCTTCCTTTCTTGAATCTTGTCTAAGGTCTCGATAAAGATTCATTTCGCATGATGATGCTTCTTGAGGCCCAGAGCTTCCCGACACGTTGAAGTTAGTACTTCTTTGATCCCTTTCCAGTCGTTTTCTATAGTAATTTTCTTTACTTTGAGTAGATCTTGTAAGGCTTGGAACCTGTTATTAAAAACTAACTTGAATTCGTTTAGTTTTTCATTATCTCGAAGGAAGGCTGTACCAAACTGTTTTTTATCTCGTTTCTCCAGTTGTCCAGTGCTTCTTTAGCTTCAGTTTCATCTCGGCAACCACCAGGTGATGATCTGAACTTATGTCAGCTCCTCTCCTAGTTCTCACATATTCCACTGATTTGAATTTTTTACTGATGCAAATATGGACGATCCTGTTCTCTGTATTGTGATTAGGTGAAACCCATGTAGCTTTGTGTTTGCGTTTGGTGGAGAATATAGTGTTGCCTATAACCATTTTGTTGAATGCATATAAATCTGCAAATATGTCACCATTCTTGTTTCTTTCTCCCAGTCAGTCCATATCGTCCCATGATATCTTCATATTCGGTGTTACTCATTCAGACCTTGGCATTTAAGTTTCCCATCAGGATGGTCACATCCTTTCCTAGGCACTTCTCTAAGGTCGATTGCAGCCTCTCGTAAAACTGGTCTTCATCGTTGGTGGATGCACGGCACTGGACATTTATTGTGATTCCCTCCTTCATTTTGAAGGATGCTTTGATGATCCTGGATGCATGGGACTCACATCCTATAAGTGCCTTTCGCGCTTCTTTGAAAAAGCACTAGTGCAACTCCTTGTGTGTGTGAAGCATTCGTCATGAACAGGGCAGCATCAGCTCTCCCGAGGCTAATTTTTCCTGTCCAGTTTGGATTTAATGTGTTTCACGTGTTCCGAGAACCACTAAGTTGTATCTCCGCATTTTCGTAGTTGTTCGACTGGTCCTCCCAGTCTACCACATTATCCGGTTGTTAGAAAGGGCATAGGCCTCGTGGCTTCCGAAGAATCTCGGTACCCATCATAAGGCATCATAATTCTTCTAGATGAAGATCCTTTAACTCTCAGAGCAGAGTTTAAATGATTTATTCTGAATAAAGTTCTTTTCTACGGGATGGGCTTGTTGACCCTATGCCCAACCCCCTCCTTTACCCAGGCTTGAAACCAGCAGTGACTAGAATAGCTACAAGCGGTATGGAATCTTTGTTGAAATTCAGTGTATTCCAAATCGAATATTAACTGTGCTCCGTTAACACTAGTACTCGGAGATAGTTACTATTACAAACTGAAATTAGTTGAAGGACCACTGAGAATCACAAGGCACTAAAAAACTTCGTATTTTTTATTGTATCGTGTACTCACGAAGAAAAACTAATAGTGAGCTATGTTTTGGGGTTTTATTGAGAAAAGAATGACTCGAAAACTACTAAGCCGGTAATCAACAGTCTGCTAATTTCAATCAATTTGTGATATACTACTATCCTTACTGAACCTTATTATTCTCCGAATTCTTTGATGACTCTACAAACTCAAGGTTTGTACTATGACTTCAGACGTTCCATGAGGCTAGTTGATAGTAAGTACAAGATTAATAATAAGTTAGGTAAATTTGTAGATTTTGTATAGTTTGAAGACAATAATTATCAAGAACTGATATCGGCTGGATAATTCATTAGTCTTCTTAAAAGTATATCAGTAAAGGTTTAAAACGTGAACCATGAATACAGCGTACCAAATTTTGGTCTTTCAACATAAATAAATTCTCAAAGCTTACTAAACAAATCAAGTTATCTCGCTACACAGTAACACGTAACTTTATTTATTTGTTCCCATCAGTTACCGCTTTCAGTACAAATTAGTAGCTAGCTATTGTTTTTCTCTCTTATTTCTATTTCTTTCCATTAATTTACTAAATAATAAATTTCTATTTAATGTATCAAGTCAAAAACCAATACTTCGTAAAGTTGCTAAACCGATGTCAACGGAAAGATTACGCGCGATGAGTGCCGCACCAAATTTCATGCCCAGAATTGGGCATAAAAATCCCGTAGAGATGAAGAGAAAACTGTCGGATGATAGTAATCAGGGCGTAGTAAGTTATATTTTTCACACATGTATGTATATACGACTAGGGTGAATTCAATTTCCAGTCGCTTAAAATTTACAGCAATAGTGATAAGGTTGAACACCATAGTTATTTAGGTTTAACTATATAACCTTACATTGTTAAGTTATTGATATGTTTCATACTAACAGCGATAAATCCTATGTTTCGATATTAGTATACTACAGCTCTCCTCTTTTATTGTTAGCCCTGGATATTGTCGATTATTAGCTATTCGAATTCATTCATTTATGCTCATCATATGAAAAGAGATTGTTACATAGAAATGATACAATTGGATGTTATACTGAACAAAATACACCGAATTAATTAATACAATCGAGATTTGACTGCAAATCAAATGAACGAACAACAGACTACACCAATATATGATCTTACGTTGAATTTCTTCCTAGTAAATTGCGTTTGGAGATATAACGTTCCAAACAGCTGTAAGTGATCATCCGAATAATACTGAATTGTAAAAGACAAGTGCATTGGACTACCTCATATAGTAATTGAAAATGTACTTTTGAAAACTGCACTAAGCTTGAAAGGACGAATTAATAATTAAAATATAGTGGAAGGTAATACGAAAATACATCCAACTACTAGTAGTGGAAAAGTTTAGGTATAGACGACACAAATCCAGATGAAAGAATGAATAAATGAAATGGAAAATGTGGAAGATAATTTTAGAAAGACTAAGAGTGAGTGTATCTAAGTTATGTCACTGAAGAATCCCAAAATACAGAATATTAAATAGTCGAAACTAGTTTAACTTCTTAATTTATTAGATTCTTTCTTTTTATGACAATAGAAATCAAATTTGAATGGGACCGGTGGTGTATTCACGAAAAGTTGATGAGAAATTAATGCAAGAAGAACTATCTCAAAATAGCGATGAATAAGAACCAATATATATATATATATATATATATATATATATATATATATATATATATATATATCTTATCCGTTATTCGTTTACCTTATTGTCAGATAAAAATAACAACCATAAAGACAAAAATAATATTGCACTCATTTCTCTATCTTCCCTTTATTATACATTCTTCTCCAGAGCACAAAAAACACCTGCAAATTAATCACTTGAGCATGTATTGTAACTTTTAAATTGTAGAAATTATAGAGAATCCATCATATGTGGCTACCTTTATACCAGAGAAAATGATTGTAATTTTAACTTTTCTTGTCTATTTTATAATTTCCATTCAAATATTGTGATTGAATAACTGCATAAACACTTATTTTTTTTGTCATTTTAAAGACTATCAACACCATTTACTTTATTCTTTACTCACATACTTTGTGAAATATTTCAATTATTTTGCCAACAACCCTTTGATTAACTTTATTCACGCTTTCGATTAATTAAATGAATCTATAAGTATTTGTTGGTGCGATTTTAAATGATCAGTTGTTTCTCAGGTGGGCTATATAATTTTAAAGTGTATATCCTTTCGTTCCTGTACCACACCTATAAACTCATAAATTCAGATTACAAGATTGTTATTAGTCCAATAGTTTTCTCCTCACCAAATGTACACTCAGTTGTTTTCTGTTTAAAAGTAAATTTAAACTTCCGACTAACAAAAGTGGTATCATTTAAAAACCAGATTATGGCAAAACAACGATCAGAGTTTAATAAATACTGCTGAAGTGCGTTACTAATTTAGTCATTGCATGAAAGTACGAATGAATATCTAAGATATTAGTGTATCTCACTTTTTAAAAAAGGTCTGAGTTATTTTTACAATGTAGTCGGAGCGTTAAATGTATCCCTATGAGATAGAAGAATGCATAGATACATTACCAGTACGAATGATTACTGAACCGCTAAAAAATGAAAAACTACGATGAACACGAATAGTTGTCTGTTAATCATCAATGTAATGTTCTGATTTTAATACTCATCAAACTCACACCGCTCGTAAAAGAGGTCGGAAACTTTACTCAGCATCTATTCGTCTTAGTCTTATTGTCAGTCGTAAGTTGATGAAACAAAGTGAACGATGGCGCAAACTCGAGTTCCCAAGTTGAATAAATAAACCAGTCAAACTACTGGACCTATAACAACTGTGTCGATCCGATTTGTGATAACCTACATCAACACTACAAGAGCAAACAAATACGAAAATAACAGTAATAGAAACAGCAACACTAAAAGCAATTAGAAGTGAAAACACAATAGAAAGCACAGAGTACTGAAATTTCTAAGATGAAGAACAATTTTATCCATAATCAAACGAGTAACTCTTGAGTTATACACTTCAATTTCCAACCACAGGTCACAGTCACTTTTTCCCAGCTTACTTCTGCGGTAAATCGATGTGAGCAGTCGCCAAAAATGCGTCGCATACAAACAGTGAATTTATTAGCCTGTCTGAACTAGAATCTAAACAGCCTAAAAATATAAATAATGTGCAGATTTACAGAATAAAATAGACAAATGTCCCTTGTTGTGAACTATGTTGTATAGGGATAGTAACCGGTAATTTTCAACAGTCTTAACTTGATTTTAAAAATTTGTGTAGCTACTGGTCCTATATATAAGTACCGAATTTTAAACTCATCACTTCAGAGCCTTATCCGTCATATATTCCTGCTTTAACAAACACGGTAAGTTGAGGTAAACAACTAGTGATTTAAAACATGTGCCGATATAAAATAGGACTATATGGGATACACCAAATATCAAAAAAGTAATTGCATGTCTCATTTATACCTACTTATTATCATATAGTATCTGTAGTTGTTGAATATTGGCATTATATATTGCATAGGTCAACAGATTTCGGCAAGCAACCACCTGTAAGACTAGAATTATTTGTATATGTTAGAGTCTCCAACACATAATATAGGGTGATTCTGGATACCATCAAGGATATTTTCTTAAGAGAGATTTGATATTAGTATGGAGAATTTGTGCTCACTAGTGACTAGCCTCAAGATGTAACTTCTGTAGTCCTAGTGAGAAGCTGTGATCAATGGAGTTCAATCCGTTTCCGCCGTATCCACAGCAGGCGATGGATGAAGGACTGCACAAAACCATGGATTGATTGGAGTTAGGCACTTACACCTCTGGATGCCGGTTCAACGGTCTTGAGCTCGAGAGTTCAGATGCGAGACCGGAGGTTCCAAGTTTAAGTCCCGTGTACAGGATTATGGATCCGTGTTGCTGAGTCCCATATTAGGACGAAACGGCCTCTAAGTACTTTCAGGTTTTGAATGGTGGTATAGCTTAGATTGATTTGTGATTTAATATCAATTTACTTAAAGTTAATTAGAAAGTTGTCGGATTAAAAAAGGAATCTATGAGGAACGAAGGGTAGAGACAAATACTTTAAACAACATGTATGTAATTGAATAGAACGAAAATGAATATGTATGCATTCCACGGACACCATTGATCGCTATCAGGCTGAATAATAACTATCTACAACAGCTAATTAAAGTTGGAATTTGAGTGTTAAATGAGACAAACTTGCTCTGTGCTTCTTTTAGCAGTAAACATAGGCACAGCAACTACCAGTTATCAAAGGCCAATGGTACTTACAGAACCATAAATAAGAACCTAATGTAGTCCTCTAAACAAATGTCGTTCGCTCTGTAAACAGCGCACAGCTTGGTACTTACGACATCCCGAAAGAATTCAAAGATGAACAAATACAAGCAGTAGGAACTGTCTATCCGAAATTTTCACTTTCTATTTTCGTTGAACAAAAATCACGTAGACTGATATTTAGTGAACGATGATAGATGAAAGTGATGAAGAAGTTCTCAGAAACTATCATTTACCTCCCATAAGTGAGAAATTTATACTTCAGTAAGATGAAATATATAATAGTAATTCAAATAAGTACAAAATCAATATATTTCAATCAGCTAGCTTCCAAAGCGATTTTTTGTTTCTTGCCACGAGTTTTTGACTTATCAACTACTTTTCTTTTACTTGTCTCCTCGAGTTCAGTAAATGAAAGGTCCATTGTTTCCTCTTCTGACAAATCTGATTCAGAATCAATATCCATTAGTTCACGTTTTCTTTTGGCTATAAAATAAGATTTTAAATCATTATTGATTAAACTCCCAAATCTACCTCCTGGGGCTTCAATAAGATGCATTTGTGTGTTAACAAGTTTAATATCTTCTTCTCTACGCAACTGTACTCCTTTCGAAAGTCGTTTTTTGATGAATGCGGATTCTCGTTTATGCTTAATCTGATCAATTTTTGGAACAGCATCAACTGGAAAAGATTTTATCAAATTAGCTTGTGATATGTACCGATTTTTCGAACTGCTGCTCGTTCATACTTCAATAATGAATTTCGCTTCCTCTCAAATGTTTGGGAGAGGTCATCACTTAGTTCTTTCCCACGAACTCTTCTGGAAACTTTAGTCCATCTTACTTTGCGAGGATTTTTATGCTTTTTAAAAGCTTTATGACACTTTCCTCTACAGAAACGGAATTCCTAGACGAATAGTGAGCAAGTAATACGAAAGTTGAAGATTAATATATGTAAACAAACATAACTCTGAAAACCTGATTTATACTAAAAGGGTTAAGAGGTCATTCATATAACATAGATTTGGAATTGGGGTCCTTTAGAGCAATTTATGTGTAGATAGCTGAAAAGTATTTATGACGAGAGACCTCAAATTTATTCGTTAAACTACTTGGAAGGATAATTAGGCTAATTACTAGAAATTAAGGTGTCTCATCATTGCTTTGTCTCTGTCCACAATATAATTGTAAAATATTATTTTAATGTGACTGAGAAACATTATATCTTCGTTGCTAATTAGTTTATATCATGACCTGTCTCAAAATTTTTGTTGAAAACTCATTCCACCTTTTATTAACCACTAGGTATTATTAAACTTATATTTACGATAGAAACAAACCTTCATTTGGCATTTGTTTCAGATAAGACAAAAACTTAAGAACATGTACAACAGTGTATAAATGTCTTACAATTACCTATTGAGGCTTAAGGTAATAAATATAGAGAATCTGTATTTACTTATAAGCGTCTAAGCAAAGGCCAAGTAGAAAAGGATACGATCAAAATAGACGTACACCTATAAGGGTGAGCAATAAAATGAAAAAAATCTTGAAGGGTGTGAAATTGTCTCGAGTTATCCTTTCACTGCCTCTACGACCACTTAAAAATGTAGACTCAATGAACAGTTTACATTCAGCAAGCACGGTAATTATGGATCTAGTAATGTGATACTCTTGTCAACCCATTCATACATCCATTTGGAACAGGGAGGCTGAGAACTTAGTCAACCTGCTTGATAATTAATATGAAGTTCTACGGAAGCGAGGTTTAGATAAAGGTAACTTTTCGATGTTGGATATCATTTTAACGAATTTTCAACATGCCTATTTTAAGGAATTGGCCTAAATCTATCGGTAAGGACGAATTATTTGATGATACAGACTGTTTGAATTATATTAACCATGTCTAATATATTTTCATTCTAACATTTATAATTACGAAAGCTATTAGACGTTAATATCACTATTTCATTAGGAATAGAACAATGGTGACATTAATTTGGAAATAATCGTAGAATATCTGGAAAATCGTCTAAAATACGCGTATATTCGACCGATTATTCCATATTAAAATGGAAAATTAGAACTACCAAATACACGAATGTACCGACGTTTAACAATACAAAAACTGCATTGTTATGGTTTATCCTTGATAAATCGTTTTTTCTTTGTAATACATCCATGTTAAGAGTATTAAGATCAACGTTTATTCTAAATGTTATTTATTTGAACACATAAATATTGGTACAACGGGGCACCAAATACATATGCGCAACAAGTTACTTGATTTGTGTGGGCTGTGATACTTCCCGGGTGCCCATACCGAAGCAGGTGGCTTTCTTAGGGGGCCACGCCCAGAGCCTTTGGTCTAAAGGTCTGATCCACAAGACAGTGGAGCAACGTAAGGAGATGCAATCCCATGGTATCCGGTAACCAATAGTTGGTCCATTTGCCATTTGTTCCCCCAAAAATAATGTATCTTCCGAACTTTTAGTCAAACGAGTATATTT